TGACTATTCATATGATTACATGATTTTTAGCATGATAGAACCATTTTAAATGAGAAAGTAATGCAAGACCAAGAATCAATTTTGGAGGAAAGACAGTGAGCTGAGTTTTGGAAATATAATCTTAGCACTTTGGGAGCCCGAGGCAGGCAGATCACCTGAGGTCAGGCATTTGAGATCAGCCTGGCCAACACGGCGAAACCCTATCTCTACTAAAAAATACAAAAATTAGCTGGACCTTGCAGTCTGCACCTGTAGTCCCAGCTACTCGGGAGGTTGAGGCAGGAGAATCGCTTGATTCCAGGAGGCAGAGGTTGCAGTGAGCCAAGATTACACCACTGCACTCAAGCCTGGGTGACAGAGCAAGAAACTCATGTGTGTGTGTGTGTGTGTGTGTGTGTATATATATACATACATATATATATATATACATATATATATATATCTTACAATACGTATAGCCTGTCCAGGTGGAGATATCCAGGAGGAAATTGACAATATAGATCTAAATATGTGATGAGAACTCTGGATTGAAGATGTACATTTGGGAGCTGTAAGCATAAAGATGGTAGTTAAGACTTGTAGATGTGACCACCTAAGATTCAAATATTTTGTTTGGGTCCAATATAAAAACTGTTTGAACAGCTCAAAGAGGAAAAGGGGTCCATTATGGCCTCCATGCCACCAAGTATCTTCCCACTATGCAGTGTGGGAAGATACCTGATTTATTCTTTTAGGTTAAGGTTTATTTCTAAATAATTACCTCATAAAATACATTTGGGAGGAATTAAACAGAGAAGCTTAATAAATAGAACAAATGAGTTAGATATCCAGAGACCAGTTTCTAACACTGACTTTGCCATTGACTGCCTGGGTGATGTTCATTCAGCAAGTCACTTTGCCTCAGGTTCCTCATGTGGAAAATGCAGAATTAGGACCAAGTGATCTTCAACATTTGGTTGACTATGATTTCACCAGTCAGAACAACTTAGTTTAGTTCAGTGATTTTCAAACTTATTGAGCAGCAGTTAGCCTTCTTTGAAAGAACTCTCATGCAGAAACACAATGTACTCAGATGTTTTGGTTACAGAGGTCTAACTCAAATTAGTTTGGATGTAGAAGAGAATTTACCAGTTAATTTAGCTACATTATGTGAAAAGGTGCAGCTGGGACCTCAGGGATCACTAGAACCTGAGACTGGTGAACCGACAGGAATTGTTGTCTATATTTCTCATTTGAGTGGTGGCTTCATTCTACACAAGGCCATTGGCCATTCTGACTTCATTCTGGGCTCTTTTGCTATGATGCAATAGCCCTTTTCCCTCAGTTCCACCTGAAAATAATCCTGGGGAAGAACTCTGTTTGCTTTAATTTGAGTCCTACAACCACCATTGTAGCCAAGAAGTTGGGGGGTTCTTTGAGCCGTAGCTGCACTAGAATTAGCATTCATAGTGCAGGTAGAAATAGTTTCTATTTCTAACAAAGATAAAGAGCATTGTTCAAAGAAAAAGGAAGGTACAGAGCAGACAAATAGATGGTCAATATGTTAAAAGACAAAACACGGGCTTTCTTGTTGAGGACCCATTTGCCTGGTTCCTTTCCTGTACTCTAGGTGGCTTCTTAAACATACCTTTGAAAACCCCAAGAGGATGCCTGGAGTATAGCTTTAAAATAGTTATCCCTCAGTATACATGGGGGATAGGTTTCTGGACCTCTAATACCATAATACATGGATCCATAAGTCCCTTATATAAAATGGCATAGTATTTGCCTATAACGTATGTATCCTCCCATATACTTTAAATCATCTCTAGATTACTTACAATACCTAATACAATGTAAATGTTATGTGAATTGTTATACTATATTGTTTATGGGGTAATGACAATAAAAATCTGTACATGTTCAGTAGTGACATAACCATCCACTTGCTTTTTCTCTTAGTATTTTTGATCCTAGGTTGGTTAAAACCAAAGATATAGAATCCACAAATGTGGAAACCACAGATATAGAGGGCTGACTGTAATTGATTTTATTAATTGGAAAGCATGCCAGCCACCTCCAAATTCTAGACAGATTGGGGCACTGGATATTTATTGGTGGAAAAGACACAGGTGGTCTCTAGAACATGAAGTACCTTTTTCTTTACCTAAGAATGAACCAATTCTCTAATAATACAAGTAAACATAATTGTTGTTTCAGAACAAATTGTACCTACATACTGCTGCTATTAAACCAATTTGATCAAAAAGGCCATATTTAAGCCAGAAGCTTCAATTAGATAAGTCACTCCTTTAAGAAGATTTTTTTTTGGAGGGGGGAAGGAGTCTTACTCTGTCACCCAGGCTGGAGTGCAGTGGAGCGACCTCAGCTCACTGCAACCTCCTCCTCCAAGGTTCAAGCAATTCTCCTGCCTCAGCCTCCTGAGTAGCTGGAATTACAGGTGTCTGCCACCAAGCCTGGCTAATTTTTGTGTTTTTAGTAGAGACAAGTTTTTGTGGTGGTCTCAAACCCCTGACTTCAAGTGATCAGACTGCCTCAGCCTCCCAAAATGTTGGTATTACAGGCATGAGCCACTGCGCCCAGCTGAGATATTTTCTTATTGCATTATTTCTAATCTTAAAAACTGCAATATCTAACAAACATGAAAAATCCTCAGAAATCAGATATCAAAAATAGGTTACTCTCTATAGCAAACTTTGATCCACTATAAAACGGCTTCTTAACAATGGCTAAAGTGCTACTCATTTGTTGTTGTTTCTGGAATGTCTTTTGAACTGGAATCTTATGAGGAACTATTTGGTTTGCTTTTTAATATCACTGAAGACAATTTCTTAGCATTTGTATAAGGCCAACTATCTGAAAACTATTACTTCTCCAGTGTCAATCTAATTGCAAATGATAAAAATAACAATATATTTTTGGATAATATATTATAGTTAATATATAAAAGTATTGCTTTGCTTTTTAGTGAGTCAATTTGATATGGTATAAAGAGGACATCTTTGAGAGTACATAATTAAACTTAACCTGCATTCAAATAAATGATATTATGACAACATCCACTGTCCACTTTTAGTTCTGAACATTACAATTATCCCTCTCCACCATAGGTTGTGATGCATTTACTACTTAAAATTTAGAGGCCAACAAAGAACATCCCATATATAAAGTTGACCTTCAGTACCACCCAAATCTACCATTTATTAGTGCTTCTTTAATATCCACAATAACTGTCATTTTTCTCCACCTGTCACTACTGCTAGGCAGCCTGTGAGAGTGGCCAGATGACATATGGCTCACATGTAAATGCCAGTGCTTTCCTCCTATCCTCCTAGACATTGTTGTGACTTAATTTTTGTCACCTCTCAAACTTTTATTTCTGGTTTATTCTGTGAGGATTTCCTGTTTATGTGTCAGTTTCCCCTACAATGATTGTGAATTACTTAAGAAAAGGGAATTTATGGCCCAGCGCGGTGGCTCACACCTGTAATCCCAGCACTTTGGGAGGTCAGGTGGGTGCATCACAAGGTTGAGAGATCGAGACCAACCTGACCAACATGGTGAAACCCTGTCTCTACTAAAAATACAAATATTAGCAGGGCATACTGATGCCCAGTTGTAGTCCCAGCTACTTGGGAGGCTGAGGTAGGAGAATCGCTGGAACCTGAGATGTGAAGGTTGCAGTGAGCCAAGATTGTGCCACCGTACTCCAGCCTGGCAACAGAGCAAGACTCCATCTTAAAAAATATAAAGAAAGAAAAAGGACTACATATGCTTCGCTGTGTGTTTCCAATGCTAAACATAGGGTATGGAACATAATATGCCCCCCACATGTGTTTATTGTATATGAATGAAAATTCATTGAATACTCATAGAAAATTCATATAAATTTACTGGTATTTAAGATACTTAAATCTGTGAGGCTATCACATTATCTGATTTATATTTTTTCTGGTATTTATTTTCCTCTTTCATTCCATATTTGGTAGTATTTCTCCTTGGGAGAGAGTGTTTGTGTGCCAAGGAGAAATACTGTGGCAAGATGCCATTGAGGCAGGCTGACTATTTGGACTCCTGAAGGACTTGCTTGGCTTTGCGGCTTAACAAAGCCAAAGATATATTCATTATATGTCAGCCTAGACTCTTAGTTGGGAAAGAGTGAGACTTCTTCCAGCTTAAGGCCATTTTGACATGTTTTACAGAAGATGGTGTGGGGCTGGTGTTGCTGGGGAGGGAAATGGAAAATAAACATAGGTAGAAAAGAGTCTGTGGTCTTGCATCCTGAGGGACTTTTTCTTTCACTCACTCACTCATTCATGCTTTCTGGTGCCAAGATGAAAGTGGTGCAATAGTTCTGCAATTGTGGACTCTTGTAATAGCTGTTCAGTTTTAGCTAAATGATGATTTGCATTTTTACCGCACCTTTTCCCCAAAGCGATGAAGGCATTTTACATTCAGTAATAAGGCCTAAGATGAATTGCAACCAACGCAACGTGCTTAGGGTGCTAAACAACACTCCTGCAGGGGAAAAAATACTGAACATGGTTAATATACCCATGACTAACACTGGTAAATACACGAGCCCGGGCATGCATTGAGAAAGATTAAAATTGTGCCAAACTGCAACAGCAGTCAGCATTCTGCTTCTACAGCCGGTGTAATTTGCTTTTTGGACTGCTGGCAGTAAAGCTGAAGCTGCCCCACAAAAAAACAAAAAACAAAAACAAACCCCAGAAACTTAAACTATCACAGCCACGTTCACCAAGTAAACAGTACTATTTCTAGTTTACATTTGGATCTCTTCGTTCTGTAGATGGCATGGATAAACAACCAACAACAAACGTAATTCTACGCGAGATGGGAGAAGCACCGGGTTACCGCTGAGCGTCACAGGTTCTTTCATTTACCTTTCACGATACAACTTACAGATGTTACGTGTTTAAAAAAAAAAAATCCACCCAAGATGTCAGAAAACATTTCCCTCGGTCACTTCACCTCACCTGGCGTCTCAGCCACCTAGACCTACGCTCTGCTTTGCCGTCAGGTCGCCTCGGGCGAGGAGGGTGCAGTAAACTGCGCCCACACAAGAACCCAGGGTGAGGCGGTTTCCCGTCTCTTCCGCCAAGGCTCTGTGGATGTGGGTTTTTGATACCCTACAAGTCTTCTCAGCCCCGTTTCTCCCTCAAGCCAGAAAAAGAGTGAGAAAACAGCGAGAGTAAAGAAAACCAGCAAGGCCCCGGCCTTGCGCGGGCACCGCGACACAACGCCGCGCACAAGGGGGCGGGGCCAAGGCGCGGCGCTGGAGCTCCGCCCCGCCGCCGCCCCGCCTCCTTCCCCTCACCCCAATCCTCCGCACCCGGGAGTGACTGACTCCCGCCAGCCCCTCCACGTCAATCAACCCTCCACCTTCTCGCACTCTCTGCACCTTGTTATTAATCTCAATACGGATATCGTCCGGACGCCTTTGCCCCGGCCTTCGGGCGTGTGAACGTGTGTGAGCGAGAGCGAAGGCACCGAACGCTGGCGTCTCTGTTCAACCTCGGCCCCAGCAGCACCCGGCGCAGCGGCAACCCCCGCAGCGGCGGCAGTCCCAGCGCCAAGAGGCCAAGGCCAAGGCCAGGATCTGCGTGGCTTTCGGAGCAATAGACGCGGCTCCGGCCCTGCTGGGGCGCAGCTTCCTTCGACTGGGGCCTTCGCGTCGGCGGCCGCGGCCGCGGGGCCTCTCCTGCGCGCCCGGGGTCACTGTCCTCGAAGCCCGGCGGCGCGGCCCTAGTCCCCCTTCCCGCCCCCCGGTCCGTCTCCTTCTGGCTCCCTTCAGCCGTCCTCCGCGCCGCCGCCTCTGCCGTTCGTCAGGCGGCCCGGCCCGGCCCGCCCGCCCCGCATCCCCTCCGGCCGGTGCCTCTCCCCCCGGCGGGCTGCCTGCATGTCTTTGCTGCCCTCAGCCCCGCCGCCACCGCCGCCGCCGCCTCCCCCGCCGCCGCAGCACCAGCACCAGCACCAGCCGCCCCGTCGCCGCCGCCGCCGCCGCCGCCCGGACCCCGGCGCGCTGAATGCAGGTGAGGAGGGGGCGCGGGTCCCCCACGACCCCGGGCCAGGGTTCCCTGCGCGCCCGCCCGCGAGCCCCGGGTCCGGGCCCAGTGTGCCGCCGCGGCTTCCCCTCGGGGCGGGCTGGATCGAGGCCCGCCGTGAGTGTTTGTGTTTGCGTCTGCGGCCGCGGCTCTGGAGGGGAAGCATCTGTGGGGGCCCTGTGCGCGCGCGCGTGTTTGTGTGTGTGTGTGTGTGTGTGTGTTTCCCCTGCCGCGGGGAAATGGCTGCTGTTGCTGCTTCTGGGCCAGAGGAAGAGCATGAGGTAGAGTGTTCTTGTGCGGCGGAGTAGAATCGAGAGTGTTGGGAAGAGGAGCGCTTCCCCGGGGAAATGGGGTGGGAGAGGGACAAATGTGCGTGTGGGTGTGCGAGTTGGGACTTTTGCGGGCGGGGAAGCGGCCCCAGGACCCGCGGCGAGTGGGTGTGTGTCGGGTGACTGGAGGGGGCGGCGGGGCTGACCCGCGTCCCTTCAGAGGAGGGCGAAGGTTCCGGGGTATGTGTGTGTATGTGTGTGTGTGTGTGTGTGTCGACGGTGGCCCGGCCCCGGGACCCCAGAGTGGCGTGTCCCTCCCGCCTTGTGGCCGAGGCTGCCGAGCCTCGCAGGTGAGAGCTGCTCGGCTGGAGCCGGTCGGTGAAGGCTGAGTGAGTGCGGCACACGCACGGCAGCGGGGCTGGGAGGGCTGCGGGTCGGCGCCGCGCCGCCGTTCTCGGGGCCGCGGTTCCCCGGGCCGCGGCAGGAAGCGCGCCGGCCTGCAGCGCGGCCTAACCGCCCGGGCGCCCGCCCGCCTCCCCGGACGCCTCCCGGGACTCCGAGCCCGCCCGAGCCCACGTCGCTGCCTCCGGCCTGGGCAGGTGAGGGTCGGAGGCGGGACGCGCCGATTGCCGTCGCCGTGGCCGCCTCCGCGTCTCCTGAGGAGACGAGAAGGCTTATTTTGGCGTTCCGACAGAAAGCCTTCCCCCGGCCGCCTGTGGGACCCGAGGGAAAGTGAATCAGAACAGTCAGTCTTGGGAATACGTGGTGTCGAGGTCCCTTTTCATCCTTCCCCTAAGGCTGTGTGGAAGGACTGAGTAAATATTTTGGATTTTTGTTGCAAATACTTTGTCGTTGGTATGATTTTTGTTTTTAAATTAGACAAACATTTTGGAAGGGCCGAGGAAGAAAGGGAAACTGGCTTCCCTGGCCTCTGGTGTTGGTGGGATTGGATGGATTTTGTGCATTGGAAGTTGTTTTATCCTGCCTCCTAGGGGAAAGGCGTGTACGCGCGGAGCTGAGGAGCTGGGTGAGGAAGAGGAAGTTACTGGTGCTGTCATCCTCCTTAACTCGGCGGGTATTGAGCTTAGGCTAAACGTTTAGGTGGATTGTGTACAAGGAGTTTAGCTGAGCCGTTTGTACACATTGGAAGCACAGCGTTACATTTTACCGTATTACCTCTATTTATCTTGTCAATCAAGATAGGCACAACAAATACGTTTTCCTCAGTCTCCAAGAACTAGATCAAGCAGCCTCTGTTGTCTACTCAGTATGTGCTACTGGAAAGCTGTTTTGAGAATACTCTAAGCAAAATTCAATTGTGAAGATAAACCTGCTGCCAATAGGTGTACAGTGCATTTCAGAACCAATTACAAATGGACTTTGGATAATATTTGCTAATGTACGTTTCTACTCCAACCTCATTACATTTGTATGTAGTTAGATCATTTAGCTAGAATCCTACTATGGATAAAATCATAATATAGATTCTATCCTTGTTCGCCGTGCTCTGAGTCAAGACCAGAGATTGCTCTTTGCAACTGGTGTCACAAAGAAATACTGTATGCTGTTCACTGGGAAATGGAGAGGAGAGAAGGAGGGGCAAAGAGTTATTTTCTATTACCACTACTGGAAAAACATTTAAGACACGTAGTGGGGAAAAGGACTTGTTTTACAGACTTCAGTTAGCATCCCAGCTTGTCATTTTTCTTAGCTGTTTGACCTTAAGCAACGTATCTACTATCTATAGGCCACAGCTTTATCAGTCACAGAGAGCGAATACCTTTATAGTAAGGTCGTTTTGAGAATAGAATGTGAAAACATACGTTTGGCATATGGTAGATGCTTAGTTAAATTTTAGTTCTGCCTTCTGCAGCCCTGACTATGGGCATTGAAGAGCCTTTGCAAGCACAAATACTGATTAATTATTTAGAGCAATATTAAGTAACTATAAGATTAAAAAATTTCAGAGTCCTTCAATATACAAAAGGTATATATAAACAACTTTAATATATATGGGAAGTCTTTTTTTCTAGAAATAAAAATGATCATTAAAATAGCCTAGTTAATCATAGTATATTCTTTTCGTGTTTTCAAATAGATCATCTCTCATTTTCATTATTCTTTATAATTTTTTTCTTTGTAGCCCTGGGAAAAAAATTTTTAACCTCTATATAATACATACATGTTTCCATACAGTTAAACATTAAAAAAGATCAAGGAACCAAAGTTTATATAGATCCCCAAAGTTAAATGCTACAAAAAAATGATAGCTCATGTTGACTGACTTTGGTAAATAAAACCTCTTAGAATATTTTTCTGAATAGAAGCTAAAATCCTTTGTCAACTTAACTTTCAGTAACTTTCCATTTTTATTGTTTTGTCTGGATTAGGAAATGTGTTCATTAAATTTTAACTGTGATGTCTGCAAAAAATGTTATGGAGAGGTATGGAATTTAAAGACAACAGAAAGGTAAATTTAAGGCTTCTTTTTGTTTCGGGTAAAAACAGGACAAAGAGAATGTGGGAGTTTCATTGGTTTAAATTTGTCATGTCCCTATTTACAAATGCCAGTTTTCCCAGTAGGGCTTATGTAATTTATTTGTATCAATAATAATAAGAAAAAAATCTTACTTTCTAAAATTCAAACTAAAATTTCAACACATTTAGTGTAACTTTTATGCATATTTATGTATAAAAATTTCTGTGAAGGTTAGAGTTACAGGATCGGAATGGGGAAGCTCTCATTGAGGGGCTTGAAGTTTTATAAATAACTAGGGGCAACTTCATTAGAATGCAATATGTGATTTTTTAAAGTGTGTGTTGTAGGAGGGTGTATTTACATTGAACAGAACCTTCTGCCATGTGGTTATATTTATGGAAAAATTCTTACCTTAAAACTATAAAAGACACTTTTTAATACCTTAGAAACAATGAAATAGAAATGAATTTGCTCTTATTTAGTATTTGGTAAAGTAATTTTCATTGGACTTTATGAATTATTTTAAAAGACTTCATTTTTTTTTTATTTGGGAGAATTGGGAAGAACATTTCTCTGTAATAATCATGAAAACAGATGATATTGAACTCTAAAGGTGTTTGGATATGAAGTGGAAGTACTAAGGTTATTATTTAGACTAAAGGAATTACGTTACAACAAAGTCAAGGTGGAAAGTTGTTTAAGTTTTAAAATTTAATGTTACTTAAATGGGCTATTAAGCAATCTTTCCAAAGTATTCGTTATTAATGTCTTTAATTAGGGGGAATTGGAATATTTAGGAATTTCTATGTGTATTACTTTGGGTAATGCTAATTAGAGTAATAAATACATTCCAAAATTTCAGTGGCATAATACAAAGAAATTTACTTGCTTTCATGGCAGTTCCAGTGCAGGTGGCACTGGTTAGCAGGTTTGTTGTGGCTTTCCTCCATGTTGTAATCTGGGGACTCATACAACTTACATCTTGTGACTCCACCATTCCTTAGGGCCTTGGAGTCCTGCCTATTGCCAGAAGACCATTTCTTAAGAAACTCTAGGCTGGGCGTGGTGGCTCACGCCTATAATCCCAGCACTTTGGGAGGCCAAGGCAGGTGGATCCCAAGGTCAAGAGATCAAGACCATCCTGGTCAACATGGCGAAACCCCATCTCTACTAAAAATACAAAAAAATTAACTGGGCATGGTGGCGTGCACCTGTAGTCCCAGCTACTTGGGAGACTGAGGCAGGAGAATTGCTTGAACCTGGGAGGCGGAGGTTGCGGTGAGCCGAGATTGCGCCATTGCACTCCAGCCTGGGTAGCAAGAGTGAAACTTCGTCTCAAAAACAAAAGAAACTCTAGACTTAAATGATAAACATTCCTCTAAATTTCATTGGCAAGATTTGTCATAGAGTCTTATTTGAATGCAAGTGGGGTGGGAAATGCCCCTGGCTGGTGGAAATCTTGGCCGTCTCTGCTGCAAGGGGCATTTTATGGTGTTATTTTAGATGTTAGCATATATTTATGAAATTACATCCAAAAGGTGAATTATGATTGTTAAGATTTGCTTTCAATCTTCAAAGAGTTAAATTGTGTGTGAGTGGAGAGTGGTAGGGAGAGGAGAAAAGGCAAAAGAGTAAGAGACACAGGAGTGGGAGAGGGAAACTCTCATCATTGAGGGGCTTAAATGATAAGTGAATTTCCGTAGCTATTTACAGATCCAGATATTTTCTGAGAACATTAGAGTTAGATTCTATAACCTTTAGTGGGTCTCTCCTGTACTATCCAGTTATTGATTGCCATTGTGGTTTAATGAGTTCTGGCAGTTTGAGTTATTTCTCTTTTTATTTTGAAATCGATTCACATCAGTAGGACAAAACTCTGAATTTCAGTTTCTGGGTATAGTTTCATAGGAAACACATTTTTAAAATTTTCTTCCTCTGCTATTGGGACAGATTATTATTATTATTATTACTACTACTACTACTACTACTACTTTGAGGAAATCTCATTTAGGTGGACCTTCCCATATTCTCTTGTTTGTTGCTGCAGTTTTTGTAATTCTAAAGTTATTAAAATTAATTATGTGTGAGCCTTAAACCAGAAAACAATAAAATCATCAAGTAAACAACAAAGGCTTGATTATTAATTTGTGCTCATGCTTCCTAATGAAAATACTACAACTTTCTTTTACTAACTGCACTAAGACTGGACCTCTAATACAGTAAATGGAATTTTTTAACCGGACAACTTTAATTTTAATTGAATCACAATTTATTCTTCAAAATGTTTTAATAGAGATGAGGTTTCACCATGTTGGTCAGGCTGGTCTTGAACTCCTGACCTGGTGATCCGCTCGTCTTGGCCTCCCAAAGTTCTGGGATTACAGGTGTAAGCCACTGTGCCTGGCCACAATTTATTCTTTCATTGCCCAGGATTATTATTATGTGAAACCTCAGCTCTGTGTCACCTTTACTTGTTTTTATGCTAAGAGTTTGGTTAGGCATCTCTGGGAGTTACATATAATCTCTTAATTTCCCAAAAGGAAGATTTTGGAGTAGTCTGGTTAACTTCTCTATGGTAAATACTTCTAATATTTTGCATCTTGAAAATTAAAAACCTAATCTGAGGACCCATTCTGTACCCATTATTGTACCCAGTTCTAAAGAGAAGTATGAAAAATGTAGAAGAGACTCTAGCAAAGCTTAAGGTTTGTCACCTTAAGCATATAATTTAGATATTTCAAAACAAATGAACTAGTGCAAGTCAATATGATATAAACTGTTTATAGACATTCTGAGAGGGAGTAACAAAATGGAATGTCACTTGGGTCAGGAATCACTTAAAAGGTTGCTTGTTTTTTTGGACAAGTTTTGTGAGGTATGATTTAGATACCTTAGAAGTAATCCATTTAAAGTATACAACTCAGTAGTTTGTAGTATATTCACAATTGTGCAACCATCAGCATAATTGATTTTAGAACATTTTCATCACTTGAAATATAAATCCTATATCCTTTAAGAGTCACCCTTCATTCTCTTATGCCTGTAGTTCTAGGCAGTTTCTATCTCCTTTCTCTATTTGGCCAATTTTGGACATTTTGTACAAATGAAATCTTACATGGTCTTTTATGATGGGCATCTTTCACTTACCATGTTTTCATGGTTCATCCGTGTCATAGCAAGTACTTCATTCTTGTAATGGCTGAATAGTATGCCACTGTAAGAATACACCACATTTATCTGTTTGTCAGCTGATGAACGTTTGGGATGTTCCAACTTTTTGGCTATTTATAAATCTTGCCGCTGTGAACATTCATGTACAAGTTCTTATGGATGTATGTTTTGAATTCTTTTGGATGTGTACTTAAGAATGGAATTGCTGGAACATATGCCACTTTGTGTTTAAACTTTTGAGGAACTTCTAAATATTTTCCAAAGCAGCCTCAGTATTTTACATTTCTGCCAGCAGTGTGTGAGAGCTCTAATATATCTACTTCATGCCAATAATTGTTACTACATCTTTTTTTGATCTTAGCTCTCCTAGTGGGTGTGATTTGATCCTGGTTTTGATTTGCATTTCCCTGATGGCTAATGATGCTTTTTATGTGCTATTGGCCATTTGTATATCCTCTTTGCAAAGAAGTGTGTGAAAAGACTCAAATTCTTTGCCCATTTTTATAATGAGTTTTTAAAATTATTGAACTGTAAGATTCTTTTATATTTTCTAGATGTGTACCTTATATATGATTTGCAAATATTTTCCCCCATTTTGTAAGTTGTCTTTTCATTTTCCTGGTGGTGTCATTTGAGGAAGAAATGTTTTTAGCTTGATGAAGTGAAATTGTTATTATTTTTCCTGTGCTTTTGGTGTCATATCTAAGAAATCGTTGCCTAATCAAAGGCCACAGAGATTTACCTCTGTGTTTTGTCCTGACAGTTTTATAGTCTTAACTCTTCCATTTAGACTTTGATCCATTTTGACTTAATTTCTGTATATGGTCTGTTGCAGAGGTCTAACATTTCTTTACATGTGGATATTCAGTTTTCCCAGTATTATTGATGAAAAGACTATTCTCTTTCCATTGAATTGGGTCATCACCCCTGTACAATATTAATTAACTGTAAGTGTGAGGATTTATTTCTGGGCTTCTAATTTTATTTCCTTGATTTATATGTATATCCTTATCCATATATGTATGATTTTAACTACTGTAGCTTTGTAATTGAGAAGTTTGAGTTCTCAAACCTCTCAAACTTTTTCTTTTTGAGAAGATTCTTTTTTTCTAAGATTGTTTTGGCTGAGTCTCTTGTATTTCCATTTCAATTTTAGGATCAGCTTCTGCAAAGAAGTCAGCTGGAATTTTGATAGGGATTGTGTTAAATCTGTACATCAGTTTTGGGACCACTACCATCTAAATATCAAGGCTTCCTGTCCATGAACATGGGATGTTTTTCTATTTATTTAGATCTTCAAGTGTCAACAGTGTTTCATAGTTTTCGGAATGTAAGTATCATACTTCTGTTGCTGCATTCCTTCCCAAGTATGTTATTTTATTTTATTTTATTGAGACAAAGTCTCTCTCTGTCACCCAGGCTGGAATGCAGTTGTGTGATCTCAGCTTACTGTGACCTCCACTGCCCGGGTTCAAGCGATTCCCCTGCCTCATCCTCCCGAGTAGCTGGGACTACAGGTGACCGCCACCACACTCAGCTGATTTTTGCATTTTTATTAGAGATGGGGTTTCACCATATTGGCTAGGCTGGTCTTGAACTCCAGACCTTGTGATCTGTTTGCCTCAGCCTTCAGGAGTGCTGGGATTACAGGTGTGAGCCACCACATCTGGCCTTTTTCTTTTAGGTGATATTGTAAATGGAATTTTTAAAAATCGGGTTTTTTTTTTGCATAGCAAGTGTATAGAAATACACTTGATTTATATGTGTTGATCTTGTACCCTGCATCCTTGCTGAATTTCTTAGTTCTAATAGTTTTTAAATAGATTCCATAGGATTTTCTACGTATAGATACCATGTCATCTGCAAACAAATGAAGTTTCAATTCTATTTTTCCAATATGGATTCATTTTAGTTTATTTTCTTGCTTAATTGCCCTGGGTAAAACCTCCAGAACATTATTGAAAATAAGTGTCAAGAGAAGACACTTGACTTGCAGCAAATTCTTGTCTTGTTCCCAATCTGAGGGGGAAAACATTCAGTCTTCTACCATTAAGTATGATGTTAGCTGAGGTTTTTTTAACTGCTCGTTGTGGAGAAGGGCTAGCCCATAGACAGGCAGTGTGCAGAAGGTAGTGAGCTGTAAATTTTTCATTAATAGCCTTTATCAGGTTGAAGAAGTTTATTTCCTAGTTTGTTGAGAGAGAGAGAGAGAGAGAGAGAGAGAGAGAGAGAGAGAGAGAGAGAGAGAGAGAGAGTCTATGTCTGTGTCTGTGTTAGGACTGAGTTTTTAGGGAAGTATGAAATGTGGATTAGAAAAGCAAAGATGCTATGTCAGTTAATAAGTGGCAGATAATAATGTTTAACTTGCTGGAGGAAGAGGGGCTAGATTTTCTTCATTTTCTCTTTTTTTCCTTCCTTCCTTCCCCACTCCTTTCTTGGTCTTTAGTCATATTCCCATCACTCCACATGCACATTTGGAGAGGATTTAATCTTTTACTGATGGTCTGAATGATTCAGGTTTCTAAGCAGTGGAAAGTATTGTTTCTTTTGAAAAATATTTAATAAAAATGTGTGGAGGATTTCTTACCGAGTAGCTTGATAGCTAGGTTTGGAGGGCATCAGAGAGGAAACCAAATCATAAATGAAGTGCTAACCATGAACCTGAAAAGTAGTGAACACAATGGAATACTTCAGCCATAAAGAATTAAATCCATCTTCAAAAATAATGAAATCCTGTCATTCTTGGCAACTTGGATGGAACTGAAGGACACTGTGTTAA